CCAAGTCAATGAAAATGGCGTGATACATTGGGTATTTATAGACAGTGCAGTAATTATAGTTTACAAAAAGACTAAAATAACCCTGTACAAATTACAAATTTATCTCAATGGAACAAAGTTCAAAATTGTTGTCCCCATAAAGAGGGCTGGACAAATTAAACATCGATATGCCTATTTGACTCGTGTCAAGTCAATTTTTGATCGCTAAATGATTTGAATAAGTTGAGTTAATGAAGTTATTAAGTTATTCGGTTTGATTTGCATTGTGAGTTTTAAAATCAATTTGATCCAACCATCCGGTTGTAAAACAATTTTTTAGGATTTTATAATTTAAATATAAATCAAATTTCAAAACATAAAAAGGAAAAAATAAAGATTCAAAACCCGACCTTAATTTCTTTTCCTACCCTTACAGTTAAGGTATACTTTATAATGATACGGAGGTTCAAAAGAAAAAAGAGAGTAATTGACACAAAACATCCCATCGTTTGTCTATTATGCAAAAATCGTCTTTAACGCTTTAATTTTTACATTTGGACCCTTAGATTGATCAAACCTTGCATAGATCATCCCCGTCACCCACATCCTTATAAAATCTCAATTTTTCTCCTCCTTCCCCTTCGGACTTCTCATCAATTTGATTTTAAAAAAAAAATCTAAAAATTAAAGCCTCTAAAATTGACTTCCGTAGTTCCTCTGATTCGATGTTTCAAATTATACTCATTTCTCTCTGACATACATTTCAATCCGTATCATCCTTATTGCACATAAAATTTAAGCATAATACAGATGGGGTATTATAATAGAGGGTAGACTAGAGAAGGGTACCAACCTTCTGATGTGGTGATGTGAGGACAAGGGCGAATCTAAGGTTGTTGGTCAACTAGGGCGGTTGTTGGTCAGCTAGGACGGTTGTTGACCATTGATCATTGATCGACGAGAGTTACTGATCATAATGATGATGTCGTTTATTATTTAAAATAATAATATGTTATTGCTCTTGAAGAGCACGACAATACGATTCCAATATTTCAGAAGACTATTGATATTTCTCTTAAAGAAACGATAATAAAATACAATGTGTTCTTGAAATAACATATGTTTTGAACAATGTACTATGTGTAATTTATGAATTTGTATTTATCCCTAAAAGAAAATATACGATTTATGTCATGTGGACATTAATCATTATACGATTATATAATGTTTAATCATATTGGGTGAAACTAAATAATTGAATCATATCTTATATTGAACTAAAAGTTCAATTTGATTGGCATAACCTATTGGATTATTACTGGATAAAAAATGATGCGAAATTAAAAAATAAAAAATCAAAAATCAAATGGATATTCAATGAAGAACCAGAAGATTCTTCAATTCAGTGAAATCCTATATGATGTTTTTTTCTTTATCGAAAATTTTTCACTAACCATAACTAATTAAAATAGGGACTGAATTCCCTATATTTCTAAAAATTAATTAGAATGATAAATGGGGCCTCATCATCCTCTATGTTGATCATTTAAATATTATTTGTATTTAATAGATTTAATATATATACTAGATGATTGCATAGTGTTTGTAATATGAAGTTTGCGAAATTACTGTTCAAATTTTAAATTATGAGCATAATTTTCAGATTATATAATCAAGATTGTATCTTGTTAATACTAGTGATTCTAAATCTTAACATTTTAACAAGTGTTAGTTGAGATGTCGATAAATGATTTAACATGTTAAACTCCCGAATTAATTGAAAACAAAGTTTTTTTCCAATTCTGTGGGAATACTATTATGCATCATGTCAATATCATAGTTCCTCCCATTATAATGTGCTTATGATCATATTCTAATTTCTTCCTCATATTATTTAATAGTGCAATTAATTTACCACATTGCAATGAGATGAAAAGTAAATAATGTTGAGAATAAATGCGTAATTTCAACCTTTATCTCAAATGGGTGATATGTGATAAACGTAATTTAGGATTATCAATTTGATTGGACAAATCTCTGAGCATTAGACGGAGGAATTAAGAAGTTGAAAATACTGTACAAATGCATCTAAATTCTTGCAAAGTATTATTCGAACCGGAAGTTTAAAAAATAGTTTATTTAGATGCATTTACTGATAAAAAAAAAACAATATCTCACGTACAAGTTTTAAATGCTCCAATACAAATTGATGTCCTAGGAAGAAAATTTGATAACATTGTATTTGATATATCTATGGCACGTCTGAAGCGTGATAGTATTCGATTCTAATACAAAAAACTTCAAACAAAGATGGAGCAATTAGCAAAGATGGTCCCAATAAATGTGGCATATACTTTTGATGAGTCTTTAGACATAACAAATTATAAAAGTCCAGAAAAGGTTCAGGTACTTGATTTGTTAAAATTTGAGATATCTTAATAAGTTATGTTATTGTGGAAAAATAAATAGAGTCGAACAAGAAAAAAAGTTGTCGACAATAATTTTACATATAATATGCTACATTTTATAGCGAGGAATCAAAATAAATGCATTGAAATATATCAATGAATTAATGATTGGCCAATTAAAAGGGATCAATTTTAAATTGAATTTACTAGAGAAACTTGAAATTTATGAATCTACAGCTGGAACATCAAAAGGTGTATACTTATACAAAATGAAAATGAAAAAAGTAAACCCGTAATATAAAATGTACGACTTTTTACATAATAAATGTCGCGAAGACATGTATAAATAGATAAGTTATCATATGGTGAATATAATTACAAGTCTCTATTTCATTATCCTGACAATGCATGAAATTTGATGTGCATGTAATAAATGTGATTATACACAATTTATCTTGTATAATTTTGATACCATCCTAGAAGAAGGATTTAATATATTTGAAGTATAATTCAAGTGATATTATCATGAGCGAAAGTAAATACGCTTGTACTCTTTTTTCCTTGACTAAGGTTTTGTCTCATTGAATTTTCTTAGCAAGGTTTTTAATGAAGGGACTTTTATAGGTATTCAAAAAAATAATGTACACTTTTTCCTTCTCTAGGTCTTTCCCATTGGATTTTTCCTAATAATGTTTTAATAAGACATATTCTTTGTATAATGATGTCCTTAACCTACAAGGCATTTATCCTCAAAAAGTATACTTTTATACGTATGAGATTTTCGAAGAGATCAACAAGAGCTATTTTTCGAATCATTATGTTACTACAATCATTAAAGGTTGATAAATATCTCTTATGAAAATGATGTTATTTGAAAACTATGCAAGACAATATTGACACACTTCACTAGAAATTGTAATATTGAAGGCATAGATGTACGAAATATGGATAGCTTGATACAAGAATTAAAATTAGGGAGAGTAACTGTACTCTTTTTCATTCGATCAAGTTTTGTCCCATTGGATTTTCTTGACAAGATTTTAACGATGCAATATTTCATTACTCCAAATTATTTGTCTTTTATCATTTGTTAGCATTTTTGTCGCATCGATTTTTTTTGTCAAACAAGTTTTCAATAAAATAGTTGTTGTATAAATAATCAACAAAGGGGGAGTGTTGTAAATAATGAGTGAAATAATTATTCATGATTATTTAGTATTATCATGATACACAGATAAGTCTTATCTAGTTTAGAAGATTTATTTCATTCTAATTATAACTCTTATTTTGGACCCTATAAATATAGGACATTGGTTTTTAATAATATACACAAATTTATTGACTTTTCTTTATTCTCTTCTCCTTTCTCTCTTTTTATAACAATTCTCACATATTTTTTAACATTTTAGAACAATCGTTCAAAAGTCTTTCATGAAACACACACTAAATGATTATCGATGTATAATCGTCAACAATTACAATTGGCAATACTTTCTTTGATGTCATCAGACATTACGGACAGCGCTCTGGACTCTGATAGTAGACGAAGAAAATTTCTAAACGCTACTAACAGAAAATTGAATCTTACATTATTTTTTAATTGTTACTTAACAATCAATAAAATTTTCTAAAGATAATATTTCAAATTTTTTTTTTTATCTTTATTGTTTTATTTAATGAAGACAATTTTAATGTAAATTAGTAGTCGTAAGATTTTTCTCTCTAAAGTTAAGAACGACAAAAAGCTTCATTGTTAACTTTAAAATATTATTTTTAGTACCATTTTGTTATTTGTAGGTTTTTTTATGCCAATATTTATTTTAACTTTCGTTACTTATTAGCGTCACAATTTTTGTCGATAAATTAAATTTATCAATAGAAAGAAATATGTTTGGAGTGCAAGTTGTAATCAAGAAATTTTATGTAATGTATATTAAAGGGGGATGTATTCAATTAAAACTTTTGAAAATTTTGGTGGACTTTTTTTAAGTGATGACTTCTGTAGACTTTTTATAATTTATATAAAATTAGTGGAAATCTTTCGTAGACTTCTATGAACTTTTATTTTAATTTTATGGACTTTTGTAGAATTCAGAAAACTTTTGAAAATCTTCATTTGAAACAGAATTTACGTGGATCTAATATAATATTATCAAATGCTCACATACGAAGTGTTATTTCCTACAATTCCCTTTTTCCTTCACCTACATATCCCCATATAATAATAAAGAAAAAATTTTAAAAGAATAAAATTTTAACTAACAGTACAAAAGTTTGTTATATTTTCAATAACAAAAGAAACAAAAAAAGATCCCACGTCTTTTATGATGGGACTAGATTATCAATCCTTGGGTTACGATACGTTTTCTTTTGGGGTTCTAATAAAAAGAATTATTGAGTTTTTTCATTAACAAAAAGAAAATTTTTGAAGATAAAGATATGTAATTTTGCGCATAAGTCTATCCAACGCCTCCAATAACGGTCAATGTCACCCTTGATTGAAGAAAACATGTAAATAGTTCTTTTCCAACGTATTCTCTCTTTATCAATGTATAGAATATATTAAAAAAAAAAAGAAAAAAAAAAGAGCAAAATTCGACACAACTCAGAAAATTATTTAACGATTTTCATTTTTATTTCGACACAACTCAGAAAATTATTCAAGAAAAGGATTGTAGCCTAGTTTTGATCTAAATCATGGAGAAACGCAGGCACAAGCCAGAGGCGCTCCTTTTCCAGGTCGAAGACACTTGCCTCCCCTCTTATATTCATTTCCTATACAAGTTATGTTGCAGTTCGGGAACTTAGAGCATGGCCCTTGAATCACCAGCCAGCTTTTTTCTTCACATCTCACTGAAAAATTTACACAACAATTTGTCATATTACTAAACTTTACTTCGTAAATTTACTGAATATTTTATTTCTAATCGAAAAATTATGAAAAATAACGACCGTGCATGTCTATGTGTACAATAAATTGAGAAATAAAATAATTACCAGATGTGAAGAGCAAAGCCATGCAAATTAGTCCAATGAAGAGTGATGTTCGAACAGACAAAATTTTCTTGGTTTCCATTGTATAGTCTAGAATAAATGAGACTTCTCTTGTATGAAAAATTCAATTAATGAATGTAAAATCCTACACCCTATTTATAATAAATATTTTTGTTTGTATTTGATTGAAGAGATTATAGTATAATCTTGACCAAAATTATTACAATCTACACTGAATCGCCTCATTGTAAGGTAATAATCATACTTGATGTGCCCCCAGGGCATAACCCAGTGGTGTAAAGGATAGGAGTGAGGTAGTCTCAGTCTTGCTGACAGTCACAGTGTGAGGGTTCGATTTTTGAGATATGAAATTTGATTCTTTGTGGACACAGTGTACAAGTAAGCTCTTGTTCCCTGATCTGTTGGGACACATCCGACGATTCACCTCCCTCACGATACTTCAGGGACAAGATGGTAGGGGCTTTCAAAGTTGGAGTTCAACTTTTTAATAATCATACTTGATGTACAAAATCCATTGGAATTTCCAACATTTGATGTCAATTCATGCATTATAATATATAATCTTACCAAGCAACATTAATGCTTAGTTCACCGAACGAAGGTTAACGTAAATTAATTGCATTGATTATATTATTTAATACATCTGGATTATTTATAATATTTATTCATCATCAATAATATTTATTCATTTATTTATTTTTATCTATTAGCTTTGTTATTAGTTGTATTATCATATTTAAAAGAGACGAGAGACGTCGTTCAATATCTAGACGTAGTTATGGCAAGTGGTTTTGATATGATAAAGGAGCACCGACTTAAAATTAAAATGAATGTGAAATAGTTATAATGTCGTATAATTACTCTAGTATTCGTATATCATTATTTTCAAGCACGTTATTATAGATTGCAAATGTTCTTATCAAGGTTGTATGTCCTTTTTCAACTTACTCAAGTTCATTCCATTTGGACCTCTAAGAGATTTTAATTAGGGAGCACGTGGATCCCAAAAATGCATAAATTTTTCCTTAAAAAAATGACTTCTCTGATCGGGTACGAGGTTCCTCGGAGACGTATTCCAACATTTTTGGACTTTCCTTCACAGCGACTTACTCGAAGTCATTAACAAAGAAAGGAAGGCAACCTCTCATTTAACTCGACAAGAACGCCGTCAGAAGAAAGGGCTGTGAACAATTGACCGACAATCAGATTTTCTCAAATCTGGCACTCATTTATAATGGCACCATAATTTCAACTTAAATAGCTAGGTTTTCACATCCTTTACACAATTTGATTGAAGTGGGAAATTTGCACCAAATTCACTTTTTCACATACCCATGTGGAGACTTTCCACAGTAGGCCCAATGAATTTACCCTTAAGACTTTACCACTTTCACATAAATAATATTTATTTAATCATTAAATCAGCAATAAATTGATTAAATAAATAATAATAAAAAGATATACTAGTATATATGCCACTATTTATAACATATTAATAACACAACAATCTCACTTCATTTCTTCCTTTATTTATTCTTCAATTGATCAAAAGATGTTTAAAGAAAAGTCCAGATGTTATCGATTCTTAGTACAACAACATGTAAGTTGCAATTTGTTAGATCCCAAGCAAAATCCACCAATTGGATATCCTTTGTCGATGCAAGCTTGATTGCAGTTTTTGAACTCTGAACAATCTCCAATGCAAGCCAGAGGCACATTAATTGCCATTCCTTTATCCATTTGCTCTGCAATTTTACAAATATTTTTGCATCATCAAAATTTAAATATTTATCCAATTTCCATATAAAGCCAATGAACAAAAAATTTACTTTAAATAAAATAGTTAACAATTAACAACCAATAAACATTACAATCGAGAAATTATACGTTACTATAATCTTGTCCAACCCGCTATAATTAGACTTTAAAATCAATAAATTCGGATCCAAAAATTAAAATGCTCAATTAGCAACTTTCCAGTCTCCTTTTTTGTTTATCTCACTAAAATTGGTTAATGTAAGAAATATAAGAACCTGATGTCATGAGGAAAATCAAGCATAAAACCCCGACAAAGAAGCACCTTGAAACTCCTGCAAGATCTGCCATTTCTTAATTAGTTTTCAGTTTTAACCACACCTCTCTTTAAATAAAGTCTATGACTATTGTTTTTCGTCACTACTAATTTGACGTTCACTAAAATTTTGACACCTAAGAAATTTAGCTGAGGTGTCAAAATTTTAATGGTAACAATCGAGTCAGGACATCTGCTCTAAACTTATAGTGCTATTGATATTATTTTTGATATTAGAAAAAAATTATATGGATTGTAGATAATAATCCAATTAATGCTAGCTCTAATAAGATAAATGTTGTAAAATAATGAGATAATTATTGATGATTATTTAGTGTTATCATGACATATAGATAAGTCTTATATAGTCTAGAAAATTTATTTAATTTCAATTGTAACTCTTATTTTGGACCCTATAAATATAAAATATTGGTTCTTAATAATACACATAAGTCGATTGAATTCTCCATATTTTCTTCTTTTTTCTCTTTTAACATGTTATCAGTACAATAATCTCATTATATGAAACTTGCCTCGTCAAAAGAATTCTTCTCTCTCTCTCTCTCTCTCTCGTGTATATATACATGCATCTTAAAAATTGTGAAAAAAAGGGGAGGCATTGAAAGTGGATGAATTGTCTACCACGTGCATATATTGCATTTAGGTTTCGTGGCTATACTTTTACTTGAAGGTTATCTAATTTATAGAGGGATTTTTCAAAAATAAAAGAGACGTATTTTGAAACGTGAGATGTTGAAATATATTGCCTTTAATCATCGTGGAACCTTCTAGCTAGGTTCAATACAATAGGCAAATCAAAAATTGATACTCGTGCAATAGGTAATTGATTCCATAATTTTTGTTCCATAATAAAAAAACAAAAATATGCTGATTATTTTTTCATCAAAAAATTGCACGTGATGTATTTAATTGTTTGTTTCTTGTTTATCGTTCAATTAATTATCACGTTCATATATATTTTTTAAATACATATTATAGTTTATAAATTTAATACTCTGATATCTCTCAGTTACAAATAATTTGTTCTCCTGAAGTAGCACAATATTGTTAATATTTTAAAAGAATATAATTGCTTCTGAAGATACACTACTCTTCAAATATTTACATTCTATTAGAAAATATGTTCCCGAAAAGATCGTGTTTTTAAATAATAATTCGTTATTGCTCTTGAAGTAGCACGATATTATTAATATTCCAAAAGAATATTAGGGGCGTTTGGCTTGTCGATTTCTGTTTTTAGCTTTTGAAAATGCCCAAAACGCGTTTGGTCATTTGTTTCCTGAAATGCATTTTCGAAAACAATGAAAAATTTATAATTGAAAACTCAAAACGATTTTTTTTCGTTTTGAGTGTTTTCAGTTAAAAACTCAAAATGAGAAAAACACTCAAAACACACCGTTTTCTCATATTTTTTAGGATGCTCGACAGTACTTTTAAAATATTAAATTCGTCAAGTTTAAAATATATATTATCTGGTAATATATTAGCATAAAATTAATATGTTTTACTAAATAATCAAATTAATTGAATAAATGTCATAAAACAATTTCTAAACATTTATTATTTATTATTTTATTTTTGTAGCAAGAAAAAATAGTAAATTCACCAAATTTAAAATATATATTATCTGGTAATATATTAATATAAAATTATTATGTTTCACTAAATAATTAAATTAACTGAATAAATGTCATAAAACAATTTATAAAAATTTTAAACCAAACACATTTTCTAGTTTTCTATTTTGAGAAATCATTTTTCAAAATGACAAACCAAATACATTTTCTATAATTCAAAAATAGTCCCTTAAAACAGAAAACGTTTTCTATTTTCAAAAATGAGAATAGAAAACGAAAATGCAAACCAAACGCACCCTAATTTACTTTTGAAGAGCAATAATTATAATTTTCAATATTCAAGAAGAATATTGACATACTGTCGATGAAAAGCATGAATTACAATTTTTAATATTTCAAATAAAGATGTTGATTTATTGCTGTTGAAAAAGCAATAATAAAATATAAAGCACTCCCAAAGAAGTACAACTCTGCAAATATTAATATTTGTCTAGAAAACATTAATTCTTCATGAGTATGTTATTATTGTCTAGAAAACATACTCATGAAGAGTTAATGTTTTTAAACAATAATTTATTGGTAGTACTGATGTTGCACAACATTGTCAATATTCTAAAAGGAATATTATTGTTTTTAAAGTAGCAAATTATTATTGATAAATATTTTAGTTAGATTTTACTTGCTTCCGAATAGCATAATTAAATACGATCTAACGTAAATTATGTTTTTACTCTTGAAGAGTAAATTCTTATACAATTCATGATTTCAAATGATAATATTTTATTGCTCCTGAAGAGCATAACACTACGATTCCAATATTTCAAAAGAATATTGGTATTACTATTAAAAAAGTGTTAATAAAATACGACGTGCTCTTGAAATAACATATATTTTGAAGAATATATCATTGTAGTTTATGAATTTGCATTTTATACCTAAAGTAAACGTACGATTTATGTCATGTGGACAGTGATCAATATATGATTATATAATGTTTAATCATATTTTTAGAAATTAAATAATTGAATTATATCTTATACTGAACCAGAAGTTCAATTTGATTGGTATAACCAGTTGGACCATCACTGGACCAACAATGATACAAAATTTAAAAATTCAAATGGATATTTAATGAAAAATCAGAAGATTTTCACTCCAGTGAAATTCTATATGATGTTTGTTCTCTTTTTATCAAAATTTGATCATTAAACATCACTAGCTAAAATAGAAAATTTATATTTCTAAAATTTTTTAATCAGGATGATAAATGAGGCCCCATCTCCTCCACATTGATCATCTAAATATTATTTGTATCTAATAGATTTAATATATATACTAGACGACTGCATAATGTTCGCAACCTGAAGTTTGCAAAATTACTGCTCAAATTTTAAATTATGAGCATAATTTTCAAAT